ATTGGCTGGGGTTGAACTGATCATGAGGGGAGGGAATGGGAATGAAGTTTTGTATTGATATGCGGGAAACTCAGATTCCGTCTGACTTTATTACAATCAGGATCTCTTAGTAAAAATACCTTTCATTTCAACCAAATGTAGTCAAGGGTTTTTCTTCCCTAAGGGATCAGACTGGGCAGGTTTGACACACTGTCTCCTATATTTATTTTATTTATTTATTTATTTGATTTGTCAATTGCTTACAAGATAATAAGTATAAGTATATCCATAGTTATGAATACATGAAATGGGTACATATAAAAAAAATAAAAGAAACAATAGGACAGGGACGGTAGGCACGTTGGTGCGCTTATGCACGCCCCCTACAGACCTCTTAGGAAAGGGGTGAGGTCAATAGTAGACAGTCTAAGGTTAAAGTTTTGGGGGTTTGGGGAAGAAACTACAGAGTCAGGTAGAATATTCCAGACATTGACCACACTGTTGCTGGTCGTATTTCCTGCAATCAAGTTTGGTGCGGTTAACCTTGAGTTTGTATCTATTGTGTGCTCTTGTGTTGTTATGGTTGAAGCTGAAGTATTCATTGACAGGTAGGACATTGCAATGTATGATTTTATATACCATACTTAGATCAGACCGAAGACGGCGTAATTCAAGGTTTTCTAGGTCTAGAATTTCAAATCTGGTGGCATAAGGTATTCTATAACGAGTAGAGGAGTGGAGAACTCTTATTGTGAAATATTTATGGACTTTCTCAACTGTGCTAATATCAGATACGTAATATGGGTTCCAGACTGATGAGCTGTATTCAAGAATTGGTCTAACAGATGTTTTGTATGCTCTAGTTAGTAGTGTGATTTTACCAGAGAAAAAGCTACGGAGGATTAGGTTAACAACTCTTAATGCCTTTTTGGCTATGTAGTTACAGTGGGCTCTAGCACTTAGATCATTAGAGATGAGTATTCCAAGGTCCTTTACAGAGCTTGGAGCATCAACAAGATCTTGAATATTCAGCTTGTATTTTAATTTCTGATTTTTTTTTTTGCCAATATGTAAGACAGAGCATTTATTTGTTGAGATTTGAAGTTGCCATTTGTTTGACCATTCTGATACATAGTCAAGATCTTTTTGAAGGGTAGCAGTATTGTCTGTGGTATTGAACAGCTTTACATCATCAGCGAAAAGAACGCAGTTGCTCTTAATATGATCACAGAGGTCATTTATGTAGAGTATGAAAAGAGTTGGTCCTAGAACACTGCCTTGGGGGACACCACTATTGACAGGTACCGAATTTGATAGGACGCTCCCAATTTTGACCATTTGTTGTCTGTTTGACAGGAATGTTTCTATCCAGTTATGCAGGTGTCCAGAGATACCGCAAGATTTTAATTTTAGGAGTAGTTTGTCATGTACTACTGAATCAAAGGCTATATCTGTGATGACAACCTATGGCAAGTGTGCTGGAAGTGGCATGCAGAGAGTGCACCCGGAAGAGTTTCACTGCATATGCGCATGCCACTACCCAACAGCTGATTGTCAGGTATATGGCTCACATGCATGGGATGGGTGTGTGCGGGAGACACACTCACATGCGCAGAGATGCGCAGCACACATGGGGGGGTCTCACATGCATGGTGCACAGGGGGACCGCGTGCACATGTGCAGGGGGTGTGCAGGGACCAACACACATTGCCTTCTGGGTGTGGCACGCAAGTGCATGCACACGAGCGCGCACGCAATTTTCAGCACAGGAGCTGAAAAAAAGTTAGCCACCACTGTCCTATATACTTCATCATACATTATAATAAAAATTAATCAACAGATAAAACTTTAGATGTTAGCCTGTAGATTTTTCAAGATGGCTCACAAGAGACAATATTTTTAGGTTTTACAAACTTTTATTATTCTTTTAGTTTTGTTATATTTTTCTTATTTTTTCTTACTGCTTTTCCAAAAACATTGTTGGCTTGTGCTGTTTTTTTATTTTATTTTCAAATTGAATTTAATGGCTTTATTTTTTTTAACTTGTAAAACATCCAGTGAACATTTGTTATTGTACGATGCAACAAATAAGTATACTTTTAACAACACTAATTTCAGTTAATCATAGGCAATACAAATGTGAAGAGTATCTACTGAGTAGCTCATAAAAAAACTTAATTTCATTCTCTCTTCTAAATGAACCAAATCATTAAACATTGTGACACAATTGAATTTGGGATAGGTCTATGTAGCAACTTTAAGGAAACACAGAATACTACCAGTAGCAATAGTACTTAGACTTATATACCATTCCATAGTGCTTTATAACATTCTCTGAGCAGTTTACAAATGTCAGCATATTACTCCCAATAATTTGGGTCCTAGTTTTACTGACCCTGGAAGGATGGAAGACTGAGTCGAACCCCTGGCTGCGGGCAGAGGATTAAACTCCTGGCTATGGGCAGAGTTAGCTTGCAATACTGTCCTCTAACCACTGCACCATTATGGCTACCAATCGGTTTTCTACAATCTTTCAGAAATAAATTGAATTTAAAGGTTAAATCTTAAAAATATATTATAATATTTACTGAATGTAACAGGACCTAAATTAATTGTGAAACACTTTTCTTTCTCTTCATATTTACTATGAACAGGGTATAATTGTTCTGAATCATCTGTGAAATATTCCAAGATTTTGAACTTGATTACACTGCATGGTATCTAATTATTGTTTTTGCAAATTTTACTATCATTTATTTAATCAGAGCTAAGGCAATTAAATAATGATCCATTGTGCATTTTTCTCCAGTTCTTTCATAGTAATGTTTCATTTTTCATTTGTGTCACTCTAATCCTCCATTTGTAAGTCACCATGTGATTAAAAAAAAGTAGGGCTGTGTTCCTAATGATTTACTCTAAAGAAAGCATGAAGTTTCATTGCAATGCTATGTCAATGTTTTTAGGAGAAAGTAGATTAGCCATGGTGCTTAAGGCACCAGGCTAGAAACCAGGAGGCTGTAAGTTCAAGTCTTGCCTTAGCCATGAAAGCAAGCTGGGTGACTTTGGGCCAATCATTCCCCATCAGCCCAACCCAACTTTCCTAGATACATGCAACAAACTAATGCTGTATAGTTTTTGCATATATTCTTATGTTTCTCTTGTTTAAGTGAATAATCAGCAACATCCATAGAAACTCACTACTTTGATCAAAATGATGAAACACCATTGATCAAAATGACGAAAGCACCATATAGTGCTGCAAATTCTATTCCTTTTTGGGTGGGGTGTAGTGTCAGTCTGCTCTGGACAACAATATGACTCCTACAGCGCCCCACCCACAGACACCACTGTGAACAAATATTCTTCCAATTGCAGTCTTTACACGTGTATTAAGCAGGTCCCATAGCCACTCTACTGTACTGAATAGACAAATTGTTCGTAATGGCAGGGCTGAATCCATAGAATGAAAAGTTGGAGGAGCCAATTTCTCAACCACATATCCTCTGGGTAGACATATCTTGGTTTTGTCTTGACTTTCAAAATATTAAGCCATATAGGGGCATAATAGTTTTTACTGCCACCTATCTATCTTTCAAGGGATGAAGAGTACAAAGAAAGTTATTATTCCAAATTGCACTGTCTTGTGCAAGCAGAATATCGAATCTAAAGATTACCCTGCCGGCCAATATGCTGTTGTATGCATCCCACCAATTAGTAGTAGCAGCAATGTACTGAGATATTCAGGATACAAGATACAGATAGACAGACAGAAAGACACACAGACTCCCCTGCTGGGGAGGTACAAAGAGAGACTTTATTGCTTATAATTTAATAGTAAACTTTGTTTTCTTTGGAAAAAAGGCTGAATCATATAGGCCTTTGTTATGGTTTAATAGGATTAATTGTTCTATCAAAAGAAGATGAACTAAAACTAAAAAAATAGATATGAGAAAATTCTTGTATCTATAGTTAGATCCAATCAAAAGAAAAACAGCAATGAATCCAGTGAACAAAATTTCCAATTTTTTGGTTAGTAAAATGTTAATTACATTCTTTTCTTTTCTTCTTTCCCTTCTGAAACATTTCCATTTGGACAATAACAGTTAATCCTTATACTTGGTTTGCTGACATTTTGGCCAATTAGAATAAGAAAAGAATAGAGCTGAACATTACTTAGTAAGATTATTTATTTTCACTTGAATGGACTCTGTTGTTTTTTTTGTAAGTTGGGCTAATCAAGTACAGTTATCTTACTATTTGCCATAGATATAATTCTTTGGTTGCAATCCTGGGGTAGTACTTCCTGTTAGTCAATATATTTGCACTGTATGTGAATTCACGGTTAATTGTAGCATACTGTAAATTGCTCAGTTGGAACTCTTTAACAAGCTGCTAAACGTTAAAATAATATTTAGTTCTCCGAGACAATGTTACATGTGACCCCTTGTATTTTGGAGTTAAGGCTGATTCTGGGGTGGTGGGAGATGGTGAACACAAAATGTTCAGCTTGATTTCGACAGGGTTATTTCAGCACCCATATCAGTGTGCGAGCTTGGAAAATCACGAGGACAGCTGAATGGTTTCCTTTAGAGTGCCGTATTTTTAGAATCCGTTCTCAAAGGACCCTAAACGTCAAGTACAGTCTGTGTGAATGGGGCGGCAGTGATGCCTGGAAAGATGCATTTGAACACGTGGCCAGAGTCACTTGGGGAAACTCTGGAGCGGACAAGCGATGGGAAGCTGAGATGAGGCGCTGCCGCCTCGTCTTGCAGAAGGGGAGAGGGCGGAAGGCGAGGGCGACTGAGAGAGAGCCACCGTCCTCCGCTCCCCCACCCGCCCGCCTTCACCCTCCTCGCTCCAGATTCAAACGCTGTCCGACGACACCTCCTCCTCTCCGCCAGACAGCGCGAAGCCCCACCTCCGCCAGCCCAAAGCGGAGGAAAAGAGAACTGCCGCCTCCCTTTCGCGGCTTCGGACGCTCTTCTTCCCCCTCCCTCCCTCTCTCTCCCCGCCCTACTCCTGGCGGCGCCTTTCCTTGCTTGTCAGGCCGGAGCGAGAGAGAGGGCGGGGGCAGCCCGTGATTTGGAGATGGCTCTGAGGAGGCCGCGGTGAGGCTGGAGTCGTCGCTCCCTGGAGGGACGTGACCTCTGCCGCGATGCTGAGGAGGATTTTACAGAGGGTAAGGGGGCAGCGCCTGGGTTGGTTGCCTGGGGGCGCCGCGGCTCTTCCTGCAGCCGGCCCAGCTCCCGAGTGGGCGCTTTGACACCCAGCTGCCTGCCTGACTTCTCTCAGGCCTCTGGGGCTGGCCTCTCCCTCTCTTCTCAGTCAGCAGCAGCAGCAGCAGGAGCAGGAGCGGTAGTAGTGCTGCTCTTCCGACTACCCTGCTTTCTGGCCCTGGGCGCCTTCTCCGTTAGGCCCTTTTTTCCCTGACTCTTCGTGGCCGAGGATGGCAGAGAAGCTTGGGAGCAATAGGGTCTCTCGGGGACGGGGAGGCTAGTCTGGAGTCGAAGGAGAGGCGTGGAGTTGCGGATGGAGGGCGGGCGACATTAGGCTTCTCGTGGGGGTCGCCCATAAAGCTGGGGCTAGAGAGGCGGGCGGGCGGGAGAAGTTGTGGGACTCCATCTTGGATAGGGGAAAACGGGGAGACGGAAACGAAGATCGGAATGGACAGACTTCTTCGTCTGCCGAGGATGCGGACTCTGAGGGGGCCTCTGGGCTCGGTGCTGTGAATGTTGCTCCGAGGCCTGGCAGACTTGGGCTGTTTCTGTCGAGGGTGTTGGCCGTTTTGCATTTCTAGAGTCACTTGTTTGATGAGACTGGTGGCTGTATAAATTAGACAAGACAGACAGACATTCAACACAGCAGCGGATCAGAGTTCTGTACAATTGCAGGCGCTGTTGGACATCTGGTTCACATAACTTTCTGATATTGCACGTCTTTCCTGAGTTGGTCCTGTTCAGATACACATTGACATTGATAGCAAAACAGAATTCCTGTACTTTTAACAATAGATGGATTTTGTTTAAAGTCATTTTGCTGCTTTATTGAACGATGCATCTGGGAAGGCGAAAAGAGAGAAAAAAATAAAGATAAGGCATGTTGCAAATTTTCATACAGAATGGAAGATGGAGTGGATAGAATTTATGAGATTGTACATGTAAACAATGCTAGGGGCTGTATTGTTAATAGCTGGACTTCTGGGAAGATAGAACTCAAGTGTTGTGGATACTCATCATACTCTGCCTTGTCCCTTAAAATGTTATACAGCTGAAAGACTTCCTTACCATAAGAATATCAGTTTTTGAAATTCTATAAGAATGCCCTCTTTTTAATAAAGAACATTTATAGGCATCCTCAGAAAGCCATATGGATGGAGTGCAAATTGTAACTTAACAACACAAACCCTAATTTACATGACTTCCAATGTCTGATGCAAGTGCATAAGTACATAATTTGCTTGTTAAGTCGTAATGCAAGTTTTGTCGGTTACACCCTTCTCCTTTTAACTTTCTCTGTTTATGGATCCCTATGTGAAGATTCTTCTAGAATCAAGTGAGAAAGAAGTTACTTCTGTTGTGTAGCTATTAATGCTCCTCCCTTTTTGAGAACTGCCAATGCAGATGGCATGATTCATATTCTAAGTATTTCCAGAATATGAACTTGTACTAGGATTCTTTAACTCGCATTATGTGCACTTTGTGTCTTATTATTATTTGTCATCTACTGTCTTACCACCACTGATAACCATTGAGAGGCAAGAAATGCCACAGAAGTGTGTGCATGTTTGTGTGTGTGTAAGATCTTATAATTTCACTGTTTGGTCATCTGTAGTTTCATAAATCCAAGCAGAAGATTAAATATTGTATTTCTATGTTGTCAGATACCTTCTTGGTGAATCGTATTTGCACCTGTATTGTAACTGTTTTTGGTGCTTATATTTATCTTAGTTTTTCACATCTCAATAACTGTTTCATTTGATATATATACTAATCCATATATGGTGACTGGTGAATTTCCTCACTCTCTTAATAAGTCTGGTAACCTACAGTACTAATAAAATAACTAATACAATATAGGTAGTCCTCACTACCATATCACTTTTCTGTGACCATGATGACGCTGAATGAGGATACTAATGGACAATCCTTGAAGTTGCAACCTACAGAGTCCTTGTAGTAATGTGATCACAATTCAGGCATTTGGCAATCAGCCTGCAATTATGATAGTTGCTGTATCCCATGGTCATGTGATACCATATGCAACCTTTGCTGTCAGCTTCTGACAAGCAGAGTCAATGGGAAACTGGCAGAAAATAGTGCTTACATGATATCATGTCTAATGGTTGTGACAATTCACTTAATGACTGCAACTGAAACTGCCATCATAAGTCAATGAGATCACAGGGTATTGTGCTTAACTGCAGAGTTCCTGGTCCCATCTTTATCCAAAGATTACCTATAACATAAAAAAGTTTCTACAGTAGCATAAAATTTAATGCAATGTGTACTTGCCTAGATATTTCCTGGCTGCCTGTAATAAAGATAAAAGTCCCAATGGCAATTTCTTTCATATTGGTATTTTCAGTTAAAGAATCTTTGATAGTAGAGCTAGAAAAGTTCTGTACTAATAAACTTGAAGAATTGTTATTAGGAAATAATACCTTCACAGACATCCAAGACTCAGTATAAGGTCCCATTGTATATTCATACTCTGTTTGAGTATTGAATTTAAGATTAAGAAAAGATTGTTTCTCTTCTGATAGTGTAAAAATAGGACAGAGCCAACAAAGTAACAAAATTATCTTTTGTAATTCAGAATGTATTTTAATTGCTATCTAAAATTGGATTTCCCACTTTTGCAGGCACTTTGTGACTAATGAGCCGTGGTGGCGCAATGGTTAGAATGCAGAATTGCAGGCTAACTCTGCCCACAGTCAGGAGTTCAATTCTGACCTGCTCAAGGTTGACTCAGCCTTTATCCTCCCAAGGTTGGTAAAATGAGGACCCAGATTGTTGGGAGCAATGTGCTGAAATGGAGAGAGTGCTGAAAAGACTATGGAGTAGTAAATACACATAAATGCTACTAATCAGTTGGCAATAAAGAGATAGCATTTCCATAAATATTAATAAAGTGAACTTATTAAAAATGGGATGAAGTTATTCTGACAAGGCCTGCTTATTCATTTAATTACCAAGTAATTTATGGAGCTATCTTACTCCATGGCAAGTCTGGGTGCCATACAGTATTTAAAAGCGGATTAGAAGAATAAAAAAACAACAGAAAATAAAGAGACCATACAGAGGTTCAAAGCAACACGTTCTGTTACACAAAACATTTCCCCAATCTGTATGTGATTCACCCTATTCCTTGTCATGGGGGAAAAGTGGTTTTAAGTGTTTTTTTAAAAAAATAAAGTCAGATTAGAAGCTTTGAGAGATTATTCCCTAGGGCAGATAGGGTGATAAGAGGGCCTACTTGTTGGGCCCAGTCAGTTGATATTGTTGTGGCCCACCAGTGGCCAGCAGAGCTGGCAGCAGATTCGGATAGCGAAGAGGTTGGGAAGGAACATGGGCCAGTCCTGGAGTCTGGGAAAGTCTCTGATGAGTGCTCTGTGTCAGAGGCAGAGATGGGGCCAGGGTTGTCTGACAGTTATCAGCTGCCTTCGGAGTTGGACATCAGTGAGGCAGAAGGACAGCTGGAGCTTGTTCCCAGTGTTCGCATGTGCAGAGCTGCCAGAAGAAGGGAACAGCTAAGGAACAAGGGTCGACTTGGGAGTAAAGATACAGGTTGACGGTGAATGGCCCCTCCCATAGGGAATAAAAGAGGATTGAAAGGAGAGTGGGGTTTGCAGGAGACAATTTGTTCATTTGAAGATCTGTTCCTGCATTCTTGCCTAGTATTGTCTGCTACAGTGATGCCTCTGAAAGATATCAGCCTGGAACCTTTCCAAGTCTGATAAAGGTCTGCAATTGTGAAATTCTTGAAAGACTGTTGGCCGGGACTTTGCTGGGCAGGAATTCACTGTAAACGAAATATAAGGGGTTTATCGGGACGAGGAGTCGGCTTTGTGCTGTTGGGGAAGCCTAGGTCAGAACAGATATTGTTTAATCAATGGGACTGAAAGTATATGAACAGTCTGTACAAGATGGGCAGAACCTACAAGAGATGATTCCTCATAGCAGTCTCAACAGAAATTGTTCTTGAGAAATCTGTACTGATTTTTAGTGATTACTGAAATTTCCCAGACAGTGTTTTGACAGATTTGTGATTTCTTGAACCCCACTACCCCCTTTTGAAATTAGGGGATATATTTCCTTTTATTAAGTCATCTGGCATATCAGCTATTCTCCAGGATTTCTCGAAGATAATACATAAAAAGTTCAAACCATCAGTAAATTCATTTGAGCCTGTAAATCTTTTGAAACTAAATATGTATTCCTTGACATATTTCTATGACTCTCAAGCTTTCATCCTTTTCATCCTTTTCTTCATATTTACATGGTGAAATATATTCTTGTTGAAGGAGGCTTGGTCTTCACATCTTCAGAGGACTTTTTATACAGCCATATTGGCCATTTCTGCTGTCCTCCATTTTCTCATTAGACTTCTTTATAATTATACTTTGTTTTTTCTTTTAAAACCCACCCATTTAGGACTTTTTCCATTATTTCTTCTTCCATGGAATCTTTGTAGTTGTTTTTTTAATTCATTAAAATAAAACTTTTTGAAGAGTCAGATACACATTTTACCTTACAGATATTCCTCTACTTACAGACATGTTACACTCTGAAAGTCTGTTCATAAGTCCAGTTTGTTTATAAGACCAAACAAGCGTAGAAATATGAGTAGTAGAATTTTTAGGTTACATAAGTGACAGTGAGTGGTATATGTGCAGATCAGTGAAGAGTATGTGAACAGAAGGCAGGGGAAGATCCCATACATATATAGTGCACAGTAAACTAACCCTTTTCTACTTCCTTACCCAATTTCTGGGACCTAGTTTGGGGGTTGTGGATGTTTGTTTATATCAATGGAAGTTCATACAGTAATTGGAAAGTTTGTAGATCAACTTTATTTTCTGTTAATTGATTGCTAAAATGTAGACTATATTGTATCTGACAATGTATCATAAATTGAGCGGATAGTGGAAGATCTGAAGGTTGATTTTTTTTTAAAAAAAGTTCAGTTTTCAGTATATGTCTTTAAAAATGCAAATTGGAGTATTTAGATAAGCAAGTAGTTAAAGTTGTCTTAAACTTATGATTCACACTGTATGGTAAATCTGTACATTCACATCACTGTCATTGTAGAATTATCCTGTAGGGAAAAATGTGAACAGAAGCAGTTATTGGTAGTGGACATTTTTGTTGTATGCCTTCTTTAAATAAAAATTTAGCAGCTCTGCATCAAGAACATTATTTTATTTGGCTTCTTTTATAAAAAGTATCTGTCATTACACTGCTACTTCCCACACCTGTGAATAATTCTAATCATAGAATAATCCATGGGAATAAAATTACTGCTGCCAGTAGCAAGGCAATTTTGACAGTGATAATATATTATATTTTCTTTTTTTCAGACTCCAGGCAGGGTTGGATCTCAGAGCTCTGACTCTGATTCATCTGCAGCCCCTGGAAATGCAGTGGATATCAACAATGAGAGTACTTCAGAGGTACTATATTGCAAGAATGTATGAATTTATTATTTCAGAATGTAATTCAAGTGGTTTTGTAATCTTACAATATTGCATAAATATTGATTTGTATGGCATTTAATCCTGCATTTGACATTTACTTTGTAATTAGTTTTTGGCAGATTAAGCCTGAGAGCCAGAAGTAGAAGAAACCAAAATGAAATACCTTTTTACATATCAGTTATCAGAAAATTTTGTATATATTTTTTCAGAATCAAATATATGTGTCTTCTGATCTGAATTAATACAAAATGTCTGGAAACTATATAGACTGGCTAGAGTAAATAAAATTAAAACGAACATCTGAGTATGATTGCCAAGGTTAATGGCATATATAGCAAAAAAATAGAGATAACCATTATGATACATGGGAACCTAAGAACCTAGGGCAATATAATGAATCAGCATAGTTTTTGTGTGGATCTAATCAGCACGCCCATTTGTTAATGACAGATTAAAAATTCACCATTCTAAGTGCTGTGCAAGATTTTTGGTATGATATCCAGTGTACCGTTAAGCACTGGGAGCCATTACGGCCGGTATATGCCATAATCTTTCCATTTTTATTTTCATATCTTGATACATTGTGATTTTTGTGAATGTTTTTTGCCTGCCATTCTATTATCTCCTAGTATCGTTACACCATTTATCTACATTCTTTGCAGCCAGAATTAAATCTGCTGTGCTTTGAGCCAAGACTATATTAATTTTATTATGATTTTTATTTTGTTTTATTTTATATACTGAAAACAGCCTAGAGTCGTGCTGGTTTGAAACAAGGCATAGATTTAGTACATCTAATAACACACGCACACACACACACACACACACACACACACACACACTATAGTGACAGTATGTAACACTGTAGCACTACTAACACTGTAGTTACTACTGTAGTAGTAACACTACAGTATGTAAACATAAATGTGTGCACCAAGACAAATTCCGTGTGTGTCCAGTCATACTTGGCCAATAAAGAATTCTATTCTATTCTATGTTCCAAAATATTTAAGTGTGACATATTTGTCACTGAGTTGAATAAGTTGATGTATACTGTCCATTCACTTCCAGTTGATGGTGGGAATGACAAGGTATCCTTGTTGTTGTTTAATATTATGTACAGTGATTATTATTTTATTTACTCTGTCTTCAAGCTAGACTTGCAAATGAAATTCAAAATCTAAATTTAAATTATAATTCTGGTTTAAGAGAGCCATTTTGTATGTAATATTAACTAAATGATCAGGCCATGGTACACTAGAAACTTTGCCCATTTTGACAGAATGTGTTATAATTCTTTGTTAGTAACTTTGCTGAGTAGTTCAAACCCCATATTGGCATTTGTTGTTGTAATTAGTTACATTAGAAAATGAAACAGCATTTAAGGCTTCTCTAAATAAAATTTAATCACAATTCCTTCTATATATTCTAATTAGTATGGTAGCATTCATTTTCATTTCACTAAATTAGATTGATATATAGTTTCTAATTACTTGTTAATATATAAAAGAGTTAAATGTGAATATTGTTACATTTTTTGTGCTTCATGTTTCAGGGATTTATTTGTCCTCTTTGTATGAAATCTCATGGATCAGCTGAAGAACTTTTTAAACACTATGAAGCAGTTCATGATTCTGGTATTGATACAAGTCATGCAGGAGAATCTAACATGACCCCCAAAAGGTGCTTATAAATACTGGCTTATTTCATTTTATTATATATTGAATAATAATTTATTGTAACTGCATTTTAATTACCAGTTAATCTGAATATTAGATGATATTGTGAAGTATATTACTTTGTAGTAGAAAAATACATTCAATGAAAAGAAATTAAAAGAATGAGAATATAAAAGGAAAGAATGAATCCATAGATCTAAGGCCAGTCTTATATAATTAGGAAATACGTTTCATTACAGTCATAGTGATTTATCTCTCAGGGAGTATGCTTAAGATTGTGCTATATGCCTCATTTGTTTTAATGTTTGTTTGGTGATTAATATGAGGACAATTTATTTTATTTTAAAAAATTAGTCAAAATATGTTTAAATATATTACTATTTACAGAAATGAATTTAATTGCAGTGATTTTTAAGATATTTAAATATATATATTTCCTTCTTTTTAATATGGATTATATTCAGTGATGACATAACTTTATTGAGGCAAGAAGTTCAAGACCTGCAAGCTTCACTTAAGGTTGGGAGAGTGTACTCAGCTTTTTATTTCAATTTACAAAGCATATCAGAGTGTTATCAAAGTCCCAAGTTCATACCGTTCTTTTAATTGTCTTTCTACAGGAAGAACGATGGTATTCTGAAGAGCTGAAGAAAGAATTAGAAAAAGTTCATGGGCAGAAGCAGCAAGTAATTATTTTAAAATATTTGAAGCAAGCTTTCCACAAGCCATTTTTAATCAGCTGTGAAATGAAGATTATTACCTATTTTGTAAGGCACGTGGCCTGACTTAGTTCTAATTGTGCTAATCTTCTTTGTAAGGGGGCGTGATGGCTCAGTGGTTGAAGACGCTGAGCTTGTCAGCTGGAAAGCTGACAGCCCAGGTTTGAGACCTAAGTGCTGTGTGACGGGGTGAGCTCCCGTTACTTGCCCCAGCTCCTGCCCACCTAGCAGTTCAAAAGCATGCAAATGTGAGTAGATAAATGGGTACCACTTCAGTGGGAAGTTAACAGCATTCTGTGCACCTTGGCATATATCATGCTGGCTATATGATCAAGGAAATGTCTTGAAACAATGCTTGGTTCCCTTGGCTAAAAAAACAGAGATGAGCACTGCCCCCAGAGCCAGACACAGCAGGGCAGAGAAAACCTTAATCTTTACCTTTTAGATTCTTTCTATTAATTGCTAATAGGAGGATTTTAAAAAAATATTAACTTTAAAAACAGATTGTTAATGTAAGCTCCCATTGGGATGTCATAATGAAAATTGTTTGGTGGGAAAAACACTTGTAATGTATTCCAAGATGTGATTTAATACACATGTTTTCATTTATTTTAATGGATTCAGTCTGAAACAGTAGCATTATGAATTATAGCTTCCAACAGATGATGGATCCTCACAGTAATGTTAGTTAATAGAGAATCTATCGCTCTTGATGATGTGCTCAAGTACAGGAATTCTCAGTCATAAAACTTGGTTTACGATCCTTATATTTTTATTTTCTTCTGTAATTATGCAGATGGTTGCAAACTTGTAACACAGAGTGCAGACTCATAACTTCTTTCTTTCTTTCTTTCTTTCTTTCTTTCTTTCTTTCTTTCTTTC